CCTTCAAGGCCTCTCCGGCACGAATCAATAACTCCAATGTAAGTGCTTCTGGAGCCATTCCAGTTATCTTTTGCCTCTTTCCAAGCGGGCCTAGTGAGAGATTTTCATCATCGGAATAGTCTTCAATCATGATTGGGGTGCGTTGGTGTTTCATCCTGTTAAGCTTTGTCTTTAGTAGCTTGTACTGAGTTCGCTCTTGAAATGCTGTTGGTTCTTGAAATTTGTGACACCTTTGGGAAAAGTGAGCAGCATTTTTCGAGAATAAGCGTGATGAATCTTTTGCGCGTGGAATCTTGACACCTTTTATTGGCTGAGTTATAGCTCAGACGGCACTTTTCTATCTTGAAAAAGACTATAAGTAGTACGCAAGACAAAGAAGAACACAGTCCCCGCTGAGCAGTTTATCAATGTTGCAAAAGACTCAAGTCCGGAAGTTTGTCGTTCCGGAGTTCGGGGAGGAATTCCATGCACAGGCTGTGGAAGGCTTTTTTAAAGTGGCTGACGTACACGTCACCTTCTCTGCGGTTGTATTTCAAATTATATGTATCGAAGAGATTTGGGGGACATTACTTTGGGTGAAGATAGAAAGATGTATCATAGACGCATATGATGCGACAATAGCACCTTCGCGTGCAGTCTTCTTCAGTTTGGCTCTAGATACTGAGTTTCGAAAAAGTAGATTGTACTCCTCATATTTGCAATACTGTTCGTATTATTATATATCGTATTGTATGTCTTCTTTCTGCAGCGAAAGAGAAAAGTATTCGATTTCGGCAAGAATTTTCCTCTTTTGAAATTGAATGAGGAATCACCATTCTTCTGTTGCGATAGAAATCCAGAATGTATCGGAAGCGGACTGGATTGCGACCCAAGAAGATATCATGGTTGTTGTTCCAACGTTTGGACAAAATGGATCCCATCATGGTGTCAGGATACTGCATTATCGTGTCGGCATTCACAGTGAAGATTGTGCCACCAACTTCAATGTTCACACGACGAGTTGCTTGGTTTGAGTTGTCATTGCCGTTGTTGTCGTCTTCCTGAATCATTTTCCGTATATTCCTGGGTATCGCCTCCTGTGGGTTGGGAAATTCTGTGGGTATCCGAATGAATCGCACAATCCATCGAAAATGGGGCCACATAGTACAACCGTTGAACCAGTCTTGGCTTTTTGGATGTCGACTGACTCGCTCCCGCACAAAGACCTGGGCTGGATTGATTCATGTCATTTTCTTCAGAAATGATCGCAGATAATCCCAGCACCATCGTTTGTTGAAATATTAATCCAGTGAAATTACTGTCGGGGAGGCTATTTTTCGGAACTGGATGTTCGAAAACGGTGCCGCGCTGGGAGTGGAACGAAATTTTCGGTTTTGTGTGCGTGTTTCAATGGTGTCGAGAGATTCCCTTCATTTTCTTCTCAGATTATTATCAGGCAGCATCATTGTCAACGACCCCATGATCAAGGCGCCATGATCAAGGGTCAAGTAGTACGTTATAGTACGGGAACCGACTAGAATATAGCTTGATTCGTTCATTCTTCCAGTTATGTGTATTTTTGTCGTCATTGTCAAGCCATTTATGGCCATCGTTGCAGTAGGCAAAAGGAGATTCAGTCTCTCTCTCTCTCTCTCTCTTCCAACATCAACGGTATTATATTCTTCTCCTATCCGTTTGTCGTGGTTCTCGCAAGATTTGAATTTTGCATGTGCTTCGATGTCACAAACGACATCCTTGACATGGAACAATTAACAAGATTCGGTCACGCATGATCATTACTAAAGAAACCCGGATCCCACTGTCCAATCGAAACCATCACTTCGAAGTCACGCAAGGTGCAGTTATGCATGTGTATCGTACGTGAAAAAGGCAAGACTGGAAGACTGCGTGTTATTGTTTCGAAAGTCATCACATAATTCACCTTCCGGGTCAAAAAAATTAAACACGTCTTATCAGCAGCGTTACAGTAATATTATTATCATCATCTTCACCATTATCGCACATATACATTATCCCGCCTGCAACATTCTAGACAATGAGCGATCAACGTGACGAGCCATCGTTGGAATTTGACATTGATGCCATTCTCGCCAGTAACCCAAATCCGCTACCACAACGAGTATCAGTCCCGCAGCAGCAACAACAACAACAGCAGCTGCAACTGCAGCAACAGCAACAACAGCAGCGGGCTGAAAGAGCCGTACCTCCTCCGGATTATCTCATTAATGCAGAAAACTGGGATGATCAACGCACCATTAGTACTCTTGGTCGAGATCAGAGCTTAATGACACGTGACGATCCACCCATTGCCATGTTTCGGCCATCCTTTGATCCCGATCGATTTGCAGACGAAGAAGCACCTAGTCTTCCCAAATACAGCTACAAACAGAGGTTAAACAACAAATCTGGCGAGGTCATGCGGCAGCTGCACGGAGGGAAAAATAACAACACTCCTGCCAGCCTAAGCAACAGCAGTGGTGGTGCTTCCAATCGTACCGTCTCCTATCGTGACTTGTACATCGTGGTGATTGTCATGTCACTGCTGCTACTGGCAATCATTACAGGGTTGGCCATTTGGTTGATTGCCCTCAAGACCAATGATACTCTAGCAGTCGGTGTTGATGGATCCTCGATCGAAGAAGAGTCTTCGGTTTGGGGGGAACCTTCTCTCAGTCCAACGCGAATCCCTACCCGATTCGATGTTGTGGCCACCAAGCTGCCAACTACAATGGCACCCACCATTAGACCAGGAAATGGCATTACAGAACCATCGCCCACAATGACACCTACACGCAAAGTAGCAACACTAACACCGACTGCTGCACCCACCAAACAAACGCCATCGCCGACTCCACGAATCACTCTTACACCCACAGGACGGCCTACTGCACGCCCCACTCCAGTACCCACACCGGTTCCCACTCCAGCACCCACACCGGTTCCCACAGCCCCACCAACTCCAAATGTGGTTCCGACCTTTCCTCCCACACCCGAAAGTATCTCTGTCCAACGGGCTCGCACCAAGTTTCTTCAAGTGTTGGAAGCCGAATCGCCCTTGTCCGCCGTGACCACGTTGTCACGATCCGATACGCCCCAATATCAAGCCTTGGACTGGCTGATTCGGGATCCCAACTTTGATTCGTACAACAGCGCAAGACTCTTGCAACGATGGACCTTGGCAACCTTTGCCTTGGGCCTAAAAGATGCCGATTGGGAAAACGCGAATTTGGCCATTGGACGAAGTGGCCAGCCAACTCAATTGGCGTTGCCGGAAGCTCTGTCGTCTTCGTGGGTTCAATACACGAACGAATGTACTTGGTTCTTTACCCAACAAGGGAACGACGCCTTGTGCAATGACCAAGGACTTTACCAACGAATTGACTTGAGGTCACAGAATCTAGCAGGTACCATTCCAACTGAACTTGCCTTGCTGTCGAATCATTTGGCCTTTATCTTCTTGTACGACAATGAATTCCATGGGACCATACCCACGGAACTTGCCTTGCTTTCGAAATTGGAACGTTTGGAGCTGACACGAAATGACCTTACAGGAAGCCTTCCCACCCAGTTGGGAAGACTAAGTCAACTTGTGTTCTTGGGCCTGGGTGTGAATGACCTGTCAGGACCCTTGCCCAGTGAAATGGGAAAATTGACCATCTTGCGAACGATTGGATTGGAACGAAACCGATTTAGCTCGACCATTCCAAACGAATGGGGAAAAATGGTGGAAGCCCGATTGCTTAATTTGGATCGGAACCAACTCAGTGGTACCGTCCCCTCTAGCTTGTGGCACATGACCTTGTTGCGGGGAATGAATCTTAGTTTCAACCCCAATTTGGATGGATTTATACCCTATCCACTTTGTGAACAACGACTGGCCTATTTGCAAGCGGATTGTGAAAATGTGGATTGCCCGTGTTGTACCACTTGCAATTACTATTGAATATAAGTGTGACTGTGAACTTAAATATTGATAATAATGATGATGAAGATAGATAACGAATAAATACACTTTAGAGAGAAAACCAATAGTATACTGTGTTCTTCTTCCACAGCAGGATACGATACGAACGTTTCACTGAAGGTTCAGCTCGTGAGCAAGTTCCGCAATGTCGTGTTCTTCATGTTCTTCCGAAGGTTGAGGGATCCCAGCCACTGGGCAACACGACACACCAATGGTCGGTCTGGTAATCTTCTCCACCATTCGTTGAGCCTCCAATGGATCATTCACCCATGTCTTGTAGAAATCAAATGGACATTCGGCAACTCCCTTGGAACCATCCCCATTGGCGTAGACACCAGTGTATCCCCGATGGAGCAATTTGAAAAGTTGATTCTATATAGAATAAAGTTTCGACGGAAATTATGAAAATACGAATCAGAAAGAATTCACCAAACAAGCAAAAGATGACAAACCAACAGCAATAGCAACAGCAATAGCGACAAACAGACATACCTGGGATTGATCATTCTTGCGCATATCACGGATTTCCGAAATAGACAATTGGGCATATTGGATACCATTGTCTTCTGTACCACATTCTCCTAGAGTTCGTCCATCGCATCCAATAACAGCGGAATGGCCAAAGTATGTGTAGACTCCATCAAATCCGGATGCATTCGCAACCGCAACGTACACGTTGTTGC